AGGATGTTATGGGAGACTGTGTCAAAAGCCTCGCTGAAGTCCAGGTAGACAACATCCACTGGTCTCCCCTCGTCTACCCAGCCAGTCATGCCATCATAGAAAGCTATCAGATTGGTCAAGCATGGTTTCCCCTTGGCGAATCCACGTTGACTACTCCTGATAACCTCTTCCTCCACCTGCTTGATGCTGACCTCTAGAATGAGTTGCTCCATCATCTTTCCCAGGATGGCGGTAAGGCTGACCAGCCTGTAGTTCCCTGGATCCTCCTTCTTGCCCTTTTTGAAGACTGGAGTGACACTGGCTTTCCTCCAGTCCTCGGGCACCTCTCCTGTCCTCCAGGACCTTTCCTTCCTTGATGGAGAGTGGCTCAGCAATGACATCTGCCAGCTCCCTCAGTAGTCATGGGTGCACTCCATTGGGGCCCATGGATTTGTGGGCGTCCAGATTGATGTGGAAGAAGCTCTCCATTCTCTGCTTTATTTGCATTAAATTCTTACACATTCTGTCTTACAGACTTAAGACTGACCAGATTAACTAGACTTAGGTCTCTTCACATCTGGCAGCCCAGAAAGTCTCCAGACTTTCTCATGAAAACTGATTAGGCTTGAACAGCAGATACCAGCTATCAACAGGACACAGGTGTTCTTGGCTCAAACTCCCATATGGCATATTTCAAGTTCTTCATCCACAAAAATGTGGCTTTCCAGAGCTATGCCCACCAATAGCCCCACTCCGTGCTGAAGCGGCATGTCGTCACACGTTCACAGCTCTGCTTCACAAGCTCTTAGTGAAAAAGATGCTTCCCACCAATAGACTGTTTCGGGTACTACACCTTGTCGGTGTTTTAAGCAGCTGTTGGTCTCACGACAGTGCAGCTGTTACAAAAGTGTTTCTCTTCTGGAACGTCAACGGAGAAGTGAGGTCAACCTCTCAAGCCATTAGTACCACCAGACGCAGACTTTGGACATTTTGCGGAGCTTTATGCAGCCACTCCTCACTTTTACAGCTGAAAACACACTACCTAGCATGACTGAAACAAGTTGTCCACCAAGGCTTTCAGTCTCCTGCTCGCAGTTTGCTTGGACAGATCACAGGACAGCCTGTCTGGAGTGAGGAAGAATGGAAACACTCAAAAAAAGGTCAAGAAATTGAAAACAACCCAACTTTCTGAATCTCCAGAGAAGACTGGAGTTCAGGTTGGCCACTCCCCCTCCAACGAGCAGCAGTTCAGAGAAGAAATGCCATCACGGATCTGCGAGGATCTCACCTGCCGGACAAGGGGCCAAGGTTCAAGACGTGGCTCTGGCTGGATTTCTTTCACGAGTCAGTGCCTGACCACCAAAGCAGGCCTGATACCAAGCTAACCTTCTTCCAAGCGTTGCCTGCCTTAATTACCGCCTACCCCACCACCCAATCCAGCCCCCACCTGGGAACACCAAACCACTGAACTTCACCATAGCTTTGGTCAGATCACAGACAGCGTTCCCAGCAGGCAGCATAACTGATGCGTCAGCAGACCTCGCACTCATCATTGCTTGGCTGATTTTCAGTGATATCTACTACAGATGAGAGACCCACAGCAACACGCAGCTTTTGGTCACAAGGGAAAAGGGTCAACTGATGTGTCTCCTCCTCTGAGTCCCCTGTCTCACCAAGGAAACGGGGTGGGAAAAGCAGTGCGACTGAAAAAATGAGTTGATTCTGGGGAGAAAATCGAGAAGTCTGTCCACAGCTATGGTGAGAAACGCATCGTTAAGTGTGCTCTAACTTACATGTCCTGCACATTACAGAGTATGGCTTCCTGCTTAAGTCTCCCTGCCCCGACAGTCCGCACGTCCCCGCAGCTCTCAGGGAAAGCCTCGGGCAGAGAGCACGACTCGGACGTGCAGTACGGGTACGTACCCAGCGCTACAGGGCCCAGGTCATGCCGGGGGCTTCTGGGCACTCCCACAGCACGAGCAGCACAGAACAGTTGCTGTGGGTGTTATGAAGGGAAAAGGATAACAGCCAGTCTCCTCCAAAAATACATCAAAAGGCATAGGTTTTAAAAGGGTTTTGATATGCTCTTGTAAATCTAAGTTTTATGAACGCAGGTGTTAGAAAACTCTACAGCAATATCAAATTAAAGATATAAATACCCACTGCCTCGAAAAACATGTTCTGTTATAGCTCTCACCCTGTCACATTTAAGACCAACGGTAGGTTTTTTCTGGACTTGCTGCTCGTAAAGCCTGCTCCATGTTTTTGATGAGAAGCAGTAAATTTAACATTTGGAACTCTTGCTCAAGTGTAGGCATCATCACAGGGAGAACCTATGTAAAATCCATATTGAGTTCCACAGTGTCACTTGTGTAGTCAGTTCTGCTCTAACAAACGCGATCACTCAGCTCACCAAACTCTAAGGACGCAGCAGAAGTGCTTACACCAGCGTAAAAGGACAAGTGCTGCTGAAGTATCACATGAAAACAACAGCTCTCGGCTGACCTCCGTTTTGGCCAGGCGCAGATCTTGGATAGGCAGTTCCTTAGAAGAAGACAGAAGCAAGGAGGCATTCAGCTCCTCTACCGTCTTCCTGCCTTCCAAACTTTCACCCCACAATAATGCAGCTCAGTGATTTCTTGGTGTTTTGCTTCCCCCATCATTCCCACCCGCACTGTCAGCGGCGGATGCTCCGGGCTGGGAGAGTCCCCGACAGCAACGGCCACAGAACCCAGCCGTGTGTCCAGGGCATGAGGCTTGCCGCAGGGACACGGACTTGGATGAGCAAGAGGCAAACACTCAGAAGAAGAACAAGGGGGCAACAGGGCACCCGTGATGTGCCAAGGCAGCCTGGGTCTTTTGCAAGGAGCAGCACTTCAGGCTTTGAAGAAAGGCATAGGGAGCTCTGCAGCAACCAATCACCAAATAATTTGCCTTAGGAGACATTTCTTCTAAACTTTCGTAGACTGTACAGGTGGCTTCTGGCCCCAAACATGACGGTTCACGTTCCTTCTTTTATATGCCTTTTGGATTCCTCCTGTTCCATGATTCTATGATTCTATATATATACCTATATTTACAGTCTACCTCCCTACCTGTTACAAGCCACACGTGTCCAGAAGTCCTTCTTTCTGTCCATCCATCCACCCCTGGACACTTTTCTTTTCCATGAGTCTTCCACTCGCACCACCCACCCAGTACCAGACCGTTATTTCAGGAAGTCTCTCCCCTCCCACTTCCACGTAAACATGGATTTCCTTACAGTTCATGTAACTCTAATTTCTTTTGAACACTCCTGAACTTTTGGCAAGGGCCTTACCAGGTTAAAACAATTTTGTAACAACATCCATTTTCAAAACTGCTCTCCTGCTAGATTAGATTGTAGTGGTTTCAAGATATGATAACACTACACTAAAAGCAGCTATCACCTTCCCTTTTAGCAACAAAATAAACAAATAAATCCAATATTTGGCAAAACGGAGAAAATTACAAAATCTGCACAGGTGCAACACAAGGACAGAAGTAGCATACAGAGGTAACATGCATATGAAACACAGAGTCATAAATTTTAAAATCCCTTTATTCCAATTCCCACGATTCCTTTCGGACACCATTTTGTTATCTTCTCACGATCTGGGCAATCTCCTTCCAAGCGATGGGTCCAGTCCCATATAACTAGGTGACCAAAGCATGTACCAAACTCTGCCTGCTCCTCAAATCTCACTCCATCACTGCTAAATAAATGCAGGTGATGCTACATTCCTTGAACAACCAGCCTTTGTTTTTCCTTTAAAAGCTCAGGCTTAGTGCACAATTACAATTCCAGAAATGGTCTAAAACACAGGCATTTGTAGGAATAAAAAGCATCCATAATTCCAGCCAGTTTGAACTGTCATAAAAACCCCATCCAGCCAAACCTGCCAGGCGCCTCTATGAAAAACAAGCAACAAAGCCCAAAAGCAGAGGCGAGCATTCTGCTTTTCGATTACATGCTGGTTCTCGGGATGTAGACATGGGGCAGAAGGGCCTATCCCTTCCTGGACAAGACGGATGGATGCTTCATCGGTTGGCTCCAAGAGAACACTGCTCGTTTACGCAAGCCACGCACCTGACTTTCAACAGAGCTGCTGCGAAACCGCACTTAAAAAGAAACTTTTTGAGCAAATGGCCCCACACCCGACACGAGTCCTCCATAAAGGGTGTCACCCTGCAATGCGCACACACACGCGCACTTCACACCGCTTCTCAGCGCTGGAAAATTTCTTACCTGTGACGATAGGATACGACTGAGGCCCGGGAACGCTCGCTCCCAAATCTGCAGAAGTAGGGCTGGTTATATTTGCCTTCATGTCATCTAATCCACCAGCTAACGATGCCATGGCTGAGTATTCAGTTGCCTGCGAAAAGAAACAAAAGGTATTTTAGCTATAATAAATTTGCTATTTGAGAGCTTTTGCCTGTACGACAAAACTCGATGCGCTACAGAAATCCTCTGTCCAGTCAGCTCTCAGGCCATACCCATTTACCTGGGCTGTTCAGCGTTCCAAATGCTCAATAAGCAGGTCCTTGCCTATCACCGATGTTCTCGGAGAACACCAACCGGGGCTTTCTTTATAAAACCAAAGCCAAACTCCTCAAACCTGTCACAAGGCTTTCCTTCAAGAGGAAATTTCGTAGAGTAACTGGGGGCTGTAACTGCAGAGTGCGAGTTACTTGCTTGTTAGAGAAAAATGTTTGTGCCAGTTGACCTGAACTCCCCTAATTTCAGTGGCGGCACTTACAGACATATACACTAACGAGCAGGTGGGAACGAGGTGTCCCGTTTCCCCTCGTCTCTTGGGAATGCTGCATTTCCTCATCATCTTACAAGAAATAAAATGCACATAAATAGAAGTGTTTGCTTAATGCATGGATTTGTGGCCAACTGTTTCTAAATCCAAATTATTTAAAAATAAATCACCTGACTGTTGCAAGGATGGTCTATCTTCGCATGGCAATTTTTTAATCTCGTTAGACAAAGCTATGGTCAATGAGCACTGGTTCTCAGAAATCAGATTGTTTCTGTCCCACAACCCTGTAGAAGTCCACGCAGCTGCAGCAATCCACAGCAGGCGAGGCCAATCCGCATATCCAGAAGGACTTCCACGTATGTGGCAGAAAGCTGATCTTCACTTGCCTTTTTCCATGACAGGGTCACTCACAAAAAACTGGGACGCTGCCTTTGAAACCTCTCCCTTCCCAGTTGCTATTCGCACTTTAAATTTTAACCCCCTATTTGCGAGGTCGTAATCGTGCCCTTAACAACTGGAGGATGACAACTTCAGGTGAAGACCAGCAAGAGGAACAGACGACGTGAAGAACAACCACTCTGAGGCTGCTCCCCACTGCTTTTTCGCAGACTAAGTCAATGCAGAAGCTGTGCAGAGCTGAAGCAACACAGGGCAGCCCCGGATCCCAAGATTGTTTTAACTGACCAAATCAAAAAGTTAACTTCTTTTTTTTTGAAACCCAGCACACAACCTGAGACTCACCATGAGCTCAGCACTTTGGGTCAGACGTATCTGCCTGTGCCTCTGTTGCTCAGTCCTTACTCAAACAGAAGTTAATTTACACAGATAGCTCCTTATCAGCAGGTCTGCATTAACACACACGTTTCTTCTGAGGATGCAATCTGCGTGAGGCACGAGTACACCGTGACACCTTGAAGGATCCCCCACTCAAACCTCTTGCAGAGGAGCATGTCAAATACATTTTTCCTTTGACCAGCTGCTGGCCACCCTGTCCCTTCACCCGGCCCACCGATCAGCACCACAGGGTCCTCTGGACCCAAGGCTTCTCCGCAGTGACCCGTCTCCTGTGCTCCTCCCTAAGCTTTGCATTAAACTTCTCCTGTTCCTCGGCCCTTCCAGCTTATTTCCCATCCAACACCCTCACGTTTCCCTTGCCTTCATGCACCCAGTCCCCTCCTTCCACCACCACTGCCTCAAAGACGCAGACGCCCACACCTCGCTCCAGCGCCGCTCCTCCTCCTTGGGGAGGACAGCCCCTGGAGCACACCTCCTCTGCCAGGATCCCAGCGACGGTGCCAGCCTCCCTCCCTCCTGCAAGTGCAGCCAAAGCTTCTTCTTCTCATGCCACATCCTACCAAGGTGTGTTTTTCAGCCTTCCCCCACCACTCCACGCCACCCTATGTCTGCAGCCCCATCTCCCCCCTGTGCTGGGTACATGCACGTGCGATGGCACTGTATACAGAATCACAGACCATGGAATCATAGGTTGGAAAAGACCTCTGACACCATCAAGGCCAACCATCCACCCAACACCCCCATGCCTGCTAAACCATGTCCTGCAGTGCCACATCCACACGGTGTTTGAACCCCTCCAGGGATGGGGACTCCCCCACTGCCCTGGGCAGCCTGGTCCAACGCCTGACCACTCTTTCAGTGAATAAATTTTTCCCAATATCCAACCTAAACGTCCAACTTGAGGCCATCTCCTCTCGTCTTGTCGGTGGTTACTCAGGACTCAAAGCCCTCATCAAAGCCCTTACCCTCCCCAAAGCCCTCATCTGACAAGACACTGGAGGAGCAACGGCATGGCTGCAGCCCTGCAGAGACATCCCGGGCAGCTGGTGATGTGGCGTGTTTGGTGTTTCTGATGCCTGGAGAAGAGCACACATCGCTGCCTGGGGAAGCACGCCTTATTGCACCCTTGCTGCTCGAAGAAAGCTGTAAATGCACATTATCCAGACTAGAAAATCTCTTTGCATCTTCCCATGGCACGCCGATCCATGGTTCCCCATGGGCAGGGTGTGAATGTGGCTTCCAGCTTACGCACGGGGAGCTGGCCATTCGGGAGGAAGGATCCAGCTGGGGTGTGTGCCCAAATCCACAGCCAGAAGTGGCTTCTGGGGCTGCTGCTCCCTGCACGAACCCAACCTCGGAACAGGTCTCACCTCCTAACTGTGACCGTCTGGAAGCACCACGCCAACGAGCAGCGAGCTTGGCTCTTCCAGCTCAGAGCGATTGAGCAGTTCTGGTGCCAGAATCAAGCCGCTGTCCGGGGGCAGCACCCCCCGCCGGGGTGCAGGGCAGTGGTACCCCGTGCTCATCCGTGTCACCCTGCCACGGGGAGATGGAGCGACGTGCAGCGGCACGGCCCCGAACCGTGGCCGGAGGGAATGGAGGCGGTG